CTTACTATTCCACTTGCTGATATAAAGTCTGCTTAATTATTTTAAGTCATTTTCAAACATGCTCCCTGCTGTTAACTTGAGACTCTTTGCCACTCTTCTGCTTTGCGTGCTCCTGCCAACCCCTGAACCTCACAGGATCTCTCTGCCCCCCTCCTGGCATGCTGAGTGTTGTCTGGGAATGTCACAGGACCATACAGACTGGATCCTTTACAGATTTGCTGTATCAATGATCATTGACTCAAATGCTTTTTCAAAAGTGTATTTCCCCCAGCTCTTCGTGATTGCCTCAAAAATACTATCTCCATCTTCATGCTTGTGCTGGGTCTTCTGGTGAAATCAAGAAGGAACAGAGCATGCCTTCATACAGAAGAATGAGAGGGTATATTTAGTCAATAACAAATAGTGAAATGAGAACAACTGGAATAAAAGTAAAATATATTTACAGCAAATCAGTACACTTCTCATGTTGAAAGTTACTCTAGTATTCAGTAAACTCTTATAGATTGATCCAATTAATTTTATTCAATAATCTCTGCCTGTTTTTTGGATTTGTGCACTATAGAAAGCTTTATTAACTTATCACAAATATAGATATGGTATCAACTGAATTGGTGTGCAAGTAGCATTTCTATAAATCAAAATATATTTTATTTATACTAAGCAAGCTTAGGTATAGAAAATAAACTTAAATTTATTGTAATTAATTAATTAAAATTTAGGGTTAAATTTGCATTCTGTTTATTCACAAAATTTCTTGCTTTACAGATATTTTATGAATAAAATTAAAACAGCAGGTATTTTGTGGTAATTGGCCAATATTTGCCTTAAATCAAAACACAGTCCAAATCTCCCACTACTTCTACCAGATATTCTAGTAAGAAATAAAATCCTGTTTTTCTTTTTTAAAAAAATATTTATTTATTTATTTATTTATTTATTTGGGGGTGGGGGAGAGAGCGCGAGCAAGCACGAGGAAGGGCAGACAGAGACAGAGAATGTCAAGCTGACTCCCTGTGGAGTGTGAAGCCTGAAGTGGGGTTCAATCCCACTGCCCTGAGATCATAACCTGAGCTGAAATCAAGAGTTGGATGCCCAACTGGCTGAGCCACCCAGGTGCCCCAAATCTTACTTTTTCTTAATTTGGGAGGATAGGAATCCTTTATAAAATACCAGCCAGGATCCCTCAAACATAAGATTCAGAACTTGAATCATTTGCTCATTATGTGGCATAAGCTCATTATTAAAAACCCTCAAGAGGTTTAGAATGGGAAAAAAAATAGCATTACTGATAACCAATTTGGCTTTTCATGAGGTTTGGTTTGATATTAATAGTAATGTCTAAGTTTGAATTTTGATGATGTTAAAGAGGTTGTTGTTTTTTTTTTTTTTAACAATATGGCATATATAGAAATTGTTGGTAAAAGCTACTAACAGAAATGAATCTTATACTAGAGCTGCCAAACTTTCCAAGTTTCTCTCTGCAGGTGTTACGTTGGGTCAACTCTATTTCTTGGTTGTTCTTTAACGGTGACACAGCACTTGGGTAGATACTAGGTGCCTTACTGGATCTTATTACTTTATTACTTGACTTGGGCTATCCTTTAGGCCATCAGCTACAATGCAGAAAAGGAAAAAAAGCAACTGAAATGTAAAACAGTTGTAACCAAGAAGGTAAATACTTGCTGAATCCTGGATGTGTTATGTGTTACCAAATAGGTATACAAAGTTATAAGGAAAAGGAAACAAGGATGTACAGGCGCCCCCAAGAAACTAATGAGAAAACTAACAATGGTCAGATGTTTGTTAATTTTCACGTGCAAGTGGTAACATTATTATAGTAGAGTACAGAATAAAAGTTTTACATAATTCAAAAGTACCTTAAGATATATAATCATTTTTTTAGAATATTAAAAATATTAATATTATTTTAAATTCAATATGTAACTGCTGATTATGGTGAAGCTTTTCTGAATATATTTTTCCTCTAAGAAACTGTTATTGAAAAAAAAGGGAAAAAAATCTGAGACTGTATGTCTAGAGTTTATCTCTACCTTCTCACCATATATAATTCTGCCCCCAGATGTTAACTAATCATTCCTGTAAATGTTTAAATCATATATCATTAAGCATAATTTTATAAATCACCAGAATTAACAGTAATTTTCCTGGCCTATCAACCTACAGAGGAAAAAAAAAAATCTTTTCAACCAGCCTTTTAAATAAATAATACTTGAAGCCCATTCAGTTAACCCAATATCTGGAAAAAAAAATCACAAAACTATGGAACTTTAATCTTATAATCTTCCAACCTAAACTCCAAACCCAAAAGTTATACACCAATCAAATTAAAAATTAAATTTTTTTTGGTCTCAAATTCCCAGCTCTATATTGTGCTCTTTTCCTCCCAACTACTATTTAATATTTTCAAAATTAAACATTACTTAAGAATGCTTCAGCGCCTATATGGAAAGTTAGTTATGTGTTTGCATGTTCTAATAATAGGTGTGATTCACTTTATAACTGGTGTGTTACTGAAAACCTTTGAATTACTAAGGTAGTCAACTGTTATTTCAAAGAACTTCACAAGGAATTCCAAGCAAAGATGCCCTCTTACAATGCATATAAACACAACAATATTTCTATTTTCAAATTTTCCATATCATTTTTCCAGTAATGTGATATCTGTCTTTCCAAATTCTGCCCTAAGGTTGTTTTTAAGTGCCGTTAATTTATTTTATTACTTACTCAAAAAGTAAAACGTCAAAAAGAAAAACTAATACTCTTCACGGCTTATCTTTTGCTCATTTTTTTCATTGACTGAATTTAAAATTCTTCATGAACATCATAGAGATTGCAATAATGACGTGGGTTGTGCTGCTTGATTTCACACAAAGCCGTACAAACAGGATGGGTATTTTGGAAATTAAACCATTCAGGCTAATACTGTTCCTTCCCCCCTCCAATCGAAAATATGACTAAACAAACTACAGACAACAGTTAAATGCAGTGGTTAAAAGCTGTGAAAGTTAATTACCTTCCCTGAACCTGTTAAGCAGTGATAAATTAATAATGTAAAGCCCAGTGCCTGGCATATAGTAACTGCTCAATAAATGTTTAGCTGTTATTATTATTCTCATTAATAATTCAATACCAATTCCTGCTTTATCTGCTTTCTAAATACAGACTCTCCCCGTTATGTTCTACATCTTCAAAATCACCCCACTTACTAACATGCTGGAAATACTGGAAAACCTCCCACCTTGAAAATTTTTAAAAGACCATCCAGATCTAAAAGATTAAGGCGACTAAATATTTAGATATGGAAAAGTGAGTCTATATTTGAATAATGTTTTAATGAAATGCTCAAATCTGTGAACGTTCTATGAAATGTATTGATATATTGATCTACCACTTTCATAGCATTTAGCAAATCCATCACCTATAGCTTTTTTATTACGAATATTTACTAGACTGACACATACTTTTAAGACATGAGTCATCTTTCCAGAGTTGGGGAAACTGATGGAAAGATGGCTAAATGATTCAGCATGCTGCAGCAAAATAAGCTGGTCATGAATTTATAATTTCCACTTCTGTTAGGTGCCCTGGCCCTGGTGGGCTCTTCCATCCTGTACTGTATATATAACACATGATACCACATCAACAAATTTTGTTAAAAATTCCCTCAGGGAAGGAGTAATGGTGTTCTCCCCTCAGACAAGCTTCTAGAAGCAAAATTATTCAATTTTATGACACAACAGCCTCACAAGGCTGGATAACCCTTACAATGTCCAGTTGTAAGCTTCATCAAGCTGTGCTTATACAGATAATAGGACTAAAGTCAATTCTAACACTAGGGCCATTTTCTCAGCTGCAAAAGGCAGACACTGGAGAAGGCCTGAAGCAAAAGAAACCCAGAAAACGGGGAAAGGAAGCCAGATGGGAAATGGGTATGGCTAAACTTGTGTCTCTTATGCCAACACTGACCTTTACCAACAAACATCATAGCAGAGCGGGTCCCAAGCAGGTCAAAAAGACTGAGCAGCAGCTATAGAACATATTCTGATGTAGCCTTAGCTATAAAGAGCTTCACTACCTAAAGCCAGTGAAAACCTTTTTCTAAGTCCCTATTTGTCCTTCAATAACAAAATATTTACTGTGTTAACCCAATGAAAAATTTATATTAGAAATACATAGATTCCAAACTAGATTAAAGCCTTTTCCCATCAAATAAAGAAAAGGCATTATGAATGAAATGTTTTCTTGTAAAAGTGCACTATCTCGAATGCTGGGAAAGCACATCCATTTTGTGACCACAGCATAGTCATTCTGCCCAGCAGTTTCTGAGAAAGGGACAAAGAAGTGTGCCAGGATGTGTGAAATGAAATCGCCATTATCTCTGAAGTCCAATTTCCTCATTCAATAGCTTGAATTTATTTCAGTTTGGTATGGTTACATACAACATACACTCAACACCCACACTCACACACGAAATCTCAGCAGCCACACTGAAAAAGAAGACACTATTTTAAAACTACTCAAAAATATATTTAGAAAACTAGGGTGACAAGTTTGACCTTTTATGATTTCACCTTATTATTTTCTTTGGGGGGGTGTATGACTGTGCAACCCCTGATTTCCTGTAACCTGGACAAAGTGGTGGTGTGTGGAGAAAGAAAGAAAAAAAAAAAGAGGTGAAACGTGCCTAATCCAGAATGTACAATTCCTCAGTATTTTATACTACTGATATATACAGAATTTTTTTTTCTCCACCAAGACCTTGGAGGTCAACAGGAGAAAAAAAAAAATGGCTCTTACACAAACAAGGTTTCAGGGTTGACCCAAGGCAACACCTCCACGTCTGGAGATTTTGAGCTCAGGGGCAGCCCAGCTGGGAGTTCTGAAAGCTGCAGCATTATCGACAGCAAGCCCAGGCCGCACGCCGGCATCCAGGGCGCCTCTGCCGTGCGCATGTCCCACTTATATAAAAAGATGCTTACAGTCCAGGTGCTTTTTCTTGGGGCCCATCACTTCATGAGTGGTGGCTTTGCAGACCGCTCTCGCAACAGCGGAGCCTGTCACGCTGTACTGAGCGGCAGCGATCCGATCCGTGAGCGTTTGGCCCGACATCTTCTCCGGCCGCGTCTATCACCTCCTCTTCTGCGGGAAAGGAGGGGAGATGGTCCTGCTTTAAACCCGCAGACCCTACCCTCCGGGCACCCCTGCCTTGCCTCCTCCAGCCGCACGGCGGCTCTCTTCTCCTCCGTCCCCGCCCTGGATGGGTATCTAGGAGCCAGCAACGCGCTAAACCCCGCTGGTGAGACGCGATCTAGGGAGTCTTCAACAAGAGTAGGTCCGTCACCGAACCCCGGCACCGGCTCCGGTCCCAGCCTCGTGACACCGTCCCGGTCCCACTCGCGCTGCCGCCCGCCTCACCCCGCCGGCACCCCCCTGTCAATCAACACTTCGTCTGCAACCTGATCCCCGCGTGTCGGACCAGCCCCGGCGTGCGTCGGGGCTATTCCCTGGGCGCCGCGCCCACCGGGTGCCCACCTCTCGCTTGCCCGCCGCAGCGTTTCTTCCTAGTAGCCCGCAGGCTCCGGGGTCTGAATCGGATACCCAGGCCCTGACCGTTTCCCTCTTCCTCCTCGCGCTGCTGCAGCAGTGGGCTCGTCCTCCCTCGGGCGCGGTGGAGATTATCCTAGCATTGCGCCATATTATGCCCTCGCCTCCCTTGCCTTCCTCGCCGCCGCCTCCCAAGCCCCGCCGAGGCCCTTCGCCCGAGTCCCCTCCCCTCGCCCCCAATCCCCGCCGCAGGGGCCGCCCGGGGGCTCTGCGGAGGCGCCGGAGTCTCTCGGCGCCTCGCCCTTCCTGGCAGTGGAGCAGAGACGGGCTGACAGCCCAGCCCAGCCCCCCGCCCGCACTCGAGCGCGCCGCGGAGCTGTCACCCAGCCGCTGCCCTTCTCTGCGCCCTAGGATTATCCTCTCCGGAGCCGCGCGCTGCCCCGGCGCGGGGGAGGGGACCGAGCCGGGGCCGCGGGTACTCACCCCGCCCCAGGAGCGGCGCCTCCCGCCGCAGGATGAGCGGAGCCTGGGCCGCCGAGGGAAGCCGCGCCGGGTGGGTGTGTGCGACAGCGCGCGGACCCGGTGCCCCGGGGCGAGATGCCTCCAGCCCTAGCCCGCACGCCGCCCCCCCCCGCCGGCCCTCAGCTCCGGGGTCCCTGCGCCCGCCGCCCGTGGCCCCGATAGCCTGTATCCGCCCGCCGCCGCCTCCTCCGCCAGCGCTGCCGGGTCTCTCTAGCGATCCGCGCCGCGTTCCCATCCCCGCCCCCACCTCAGCTGTGGCTGCTCCAACGAGTCAGGTGACGGCGGCGGACTAACCCGGGCGAGCTCTCCGCCTAGCGCCTCGCGGCCCCCTCCCAGCTACTCACACACGCTACCACCCCCCCTCCCCCGGGACCGCCAGCTTACAGGCAAGGGGGCGCCGCGCGCGAGCATCCCCGGCCAGCGCGAGACGAGGAGGAGGCGGGGATGACAGAGAGGCCGACACCCACCAGCCAACCACCCTCCGCGAGGCTCTCAGCAGCCCCTCCGCCGGCTAGACCCGCACCCAGCACGCACTGCGTGCGCGCGCACCGCGCACACCTGCCGGGCTACTGCGGGATTCGTGGAGGGCGGCGGGGGCGTTGGAGCAGCCCTGCCAGTGGGTTTTTCAAGTGCTGCTGTGAAGGCCAAGGCTAGGGCGTCGTCGCGCGCGGCCGGGCAAAGCCCGGCCCTTTCTCCTCTACATTCTGTCTCTGACACGCCCGGCTGTCGAAGGCAGCCGTGGCCGGGAAGGGCAGGGCCATTTAAATGGCAGATCCTGCAAGCCAACCGTGCCGTTCGGTACCTGTGCCTCAACAGCTTGGAGTTCCTTTACTTGTTTCAGTTACAATTGGGAGCCGGGGTGGGCAGGTAACTCTAGCCACGTTGGTCTTAAACGGATACAGAGGTCTGCTCCAAGTGCGAATAATGAACAAAGCCATCAATCAAGGCCCAAATTATATTCACAGTAATTACTTGGGTGTGTAGAGAAAACTCTTTGTATCCTTAAAAAGTAACGTCTACCAATTAAATATAGTGTTTGAATGTCTTTACATTTGAACTGCATACATGAATTTCTTAAACGGGGATTTGGACTGGATTAGTAGTTTCAGGTGTTCCCATTTTCAAAGATTGCTACTTACTGTAATCTTGAAAAACTTACATTCTCAAAGTAGAATCAAGATCAGAACTGAGCTGTGAATTTTCTTGGCATTTTTTTCTGGCTACAGGTGGCCTCTATTGGGCCTTATGGACTTAAAATGTCTACCTATAGATATCAAGGTTTTGTGTTGTACTCCTTTTACCTGGTACAGTGTTCATTATGAAGTCATGATTTCATAACTTTTGGGACTGAGTCTAGCATTAATTAGAAGTGTGATGAGTAAAGAAAGATAGCCTAAGACCACCATTCTTGGGTTTCAGATACTAGTCTTACCATATGATCTAACAATAGGACACCTAGATATTTGTCCAAGAGAAATAGATAGTTCCATTTAAAAACATGTACCCAAATTTTGTAGTACCTTTATAGAATGGCCCCAAATTGAAAGAAACCCAAATGCTCTTCTACTTGTAAGTGGGTAAACAAAATGTGGTCTGTCCGCACAATGGAATGCTACTAAGCAATAACAAAGAACAAACCAACAACGGGGATGAAAATGCATTATGCTAAATCAAAGAAGCCCAAACTCCAAATGCTACATGTTGTGATTCCATTTATATGACATTCTGAAAAAGGATAAACAATAGAGACAGAAAGCATATCAGATGTCAGGAGTGGGGAGAAGAGACTGACCACAAAGGGACAGAAGGTAACTTGTCGTAGTGATGGAAATGTTCTACATCGTAACTGTGATGATTGTTACATAACCCCATAAATTTCTCAGAACTTATCAATTTATACACTTAAAATTGGTGAATTTTATTATGTGTAAATTATACCTCAATAAATCTGATAAAAAGAGCTGGAATGACAATATTAATAAAGTAGACTTCAGAGGAAGGAATATTAGTATGAAGAGGCACATTTCATAATGATACAAATTCATCAAGCATATGTAGCAATCCTACATGTTTATATACCTACAAACAGAGCTTCAAAATAAGCTAAAGCAGGTGCGCCTGGATGGCTCAGTCGATTAAATGTCTGCCTTTGGCTCAGGTCATGATCCCGGCGTCCTGGGATCAAGTCCCGCATCAGGCTCCCTGCTCAGTGGGAGTCTGCTTCTCCTTCTCTCTCTCTCTCTGTCAAATAAATAAATAAATAAAATCTTAAAAAAAAATAAGCTAAAGCAAAAACTAAGAGCTTTAAAAGGAAAAACATACAAATCCAAAATTATATTTGAGGATTTCAACACTCTTAGTAATTGATAGAACAGGTAGATAGAAAATCTGTAAGAGTATAGATGGCTTGAAATAACCATATAAACTATTGATCTAGTTGACATTTATAAAGAACTCCACCCAACAATGGTAAGACACATTCTTTTCAAGAACATATGGAATATTCACCAGGATAGACTATATTCTGTAGTCTCATGAATTTAAAAGAATTACAATCATACAAACTGTATTCTCTTACTATTGTGGAATTTAACTAAAAATAACAGATATCTGCAAATCCCTAAATATTTGATAATTAAACAATGCATTCTAAATAATCCATGGGCCTAACTTTCCCATAGGAAAGTTTACCTTTGAACTGAATGATAATGAAAACGCAACATATCAAAATTTGTAGGATGCCTGTAAAGAAGTGATTAGAAGGAAATTTATAGCGAGAAGAGTCTTACATTCAAAATGAAGAAAGACCTAAAAGGAACTTTAAGTTGCAATCTTAAGAAACTAGAAAAAGAACAAATTAAATTCAGCAGAATTTCCTTCAGAAAGAAGGAAATAATAAAAATAAAAGTGAAAAAGCAAATAGATAAATAATAGATAAAATCAATGAAACCAAAAGCTGTTTTTTCTGAAAATGAAATTGATCAAGGAAAATATTAGCCAGACTAGTCAAAGAAAGAAGGAGATGACACAATCTTCCAGTGTTAGGAATGAAAGGCAGAATAGATCCCACGGACATTAAGAGGATAAGAGAATGTTATGAAAAACATTATGCAGATAAATTAGACAATTTTCATGAAATAAGGAAATAGTGTAGAATAGTGATTCTCCAATAGTCCAATAGTAATGTCATGTCACATATATTGATATTAGTTAAGAGGTTTGGAGCAAGTAACATGTTTCCAATAATGGTCAAAATAATATAATCTGTAAGTGATTTACTTTTCAAAATTAAATTGGAGTAGATTCACAGTCAATTCTATAACAGTTTGAAATTACATGTGGTTACTTATGTACAGATAGCACTGTGAAGTATGGGAAGCCATAGTATATCGCTGGTGTACTGCTCATGTCTCTGCTGCTATGCATGGGAGGGTGTCCCACACATGGACATCCTTCTGTCATGGGCAGTAGCAGAAAAATATTTGAAAATCTGCAAACTATAAAAGTGTCATATACAAATTAGTAAATTATGTCAAATGTAGAACCAACTTTTGAAATGTTATTGATTGTTTTGGAAGAAGGTCTTACTGAGCTTTGAAAATAACATATTTGCAGTGGCAAAGATTAAGAAATGCCAGGTTCTTGGGGCACCTGGGTGGCCCAGTCGGTTAAGTGGCCAACTCTTTTTTTTTTTTTAATATTTTATTTATTTATCTGATAGACACAGCGAGAGAGGGAACACAAGCAGGGGGAGTGGGAGAGGGAGAAGCAGGCTTACTGCAGAGCAGGGAGCCCGATGTGGGGCTCGGTCCCAGGACCCCGGGATCATGACCTGAGCTGAAGGCAGACGCTTAACGACTGAGCCACCCAGGCGCCCCACGGCCAACTCTTGATTTCACCTCAGGTCATGGTGTTAGGACCTGGGATCAAGCCCTGTGTCAGGTTCCATGCTCAGCAGGGAGTCTGCTTGAGAATTCTCTCTCTCTCCCTCTCTCCCTCCCCCCACTTGCATGCACCCTTTCTTTCTCTCAAATAAATCAAATAAATCTTAAAAAAAAAAAAATGAAATGCCAGGTTCTTCTATCTAGGAAAACCTAGAAATACAACCATGAATGTTGTATATGAAATTGAAGGAAAGAAAATTGATCAAAAGGTAGAAATACATCAAGAGGAAGAAAAATGAATCCTTCTCAGTATATTCCCTTTGAAGGCTCAGGGACACAATAAATAACATTCAATAAATTTTAGTGAAGCAGGACATTGGTGGGGCTCCTGACTGGATTAGTTGGTTAAGCGTCTGACTCCTGATTTCAGTTCCGGTCATGATCTCAGGGTTGTGAGACACAGCCCCACATCAGGTCCCACACTCTGTGTGGAGTCTGCTTGAGATTCTTCCTCTCTCTGCCCCTCCCCCTGCTTGCTCTCTCTCCGTCTATTACAAAAAAAGGAATAAGCATTGACATTCAATATTTTTACAAACTGAAAAATCTTTTGATCTCTCTCAGTGATCAGAAGAGATTATATACAACAGATATTCAGAACATGCTTTTAAAAATATATATTGAAATTTTTTTGAGTCAATATACATGTATGTCACCACCCAGATTTTTTTCTAAATCTGATTTAATACATATGTTTTCTTCTGAGTATCAGATTTAATGCAGAAAAACCAAACCAACAATGATGACATGTAGACACAATTTATATCAACACCTGAAGGCAAATGTCTTCAAGCTCTTTGTTTCAGTTTATTTGTAAGATACAACAGGAGTAAAAGAAACTTTAATTCCTGATTTGTTCAGGCAACAAACTTAGGTGGTGTTGGAAAATTCACATTTTTGTCTAAAACCGATAATGTCCTTCTTAAGATAATTTATAGGGTGATTTTATTCCAGGGATATTTTCTGTCAAAGTAGAAAAAAAAACAAAAACCATGAGGTCCAAAAATAACTATATTGGAATATACCATCCCCAAACATAAATGTGACAGGCCTATCCAAACTTAAAAGCAACTGGCAACAAAAAGCAAGTTTTAATATCCTGAATGCATTTGTATAGAGACAAAAAGATCGCTTCACTTTTATAAGGCGACAAATGAAAGAGACCGTAAAACTGATGAACATTCTAATGTAGCAAGAAAGTAGTAGGTTGCATAGAATATCAGTAAGACTGAGATTCAAACAACTAGATTATCTTAGAGAAGTATAACATTTCATCCATGAAACCATTCAAGTTATTTAAGAATAAAAGTAAATGAAGAGACAGTATATTCCAAGTCAGGACAAACATATTTATTAAGTTTTATCCCGCCTAACAGTCAGGTTAGAAATAAATTCCATGGAGGGGCACCTGGGTGGCTCAGTTGGTAAAGCACCCTACTCTTGATCTTGGCTCAGGTCATGATCTTAGGGTTGTGAGATCAAGCCCTGCATCGGGCATGGAGCCAACATAAGATTCTCTCGCTCCCTCTGTCCCTCCCCACCCTATTTGCACACGTACACGTGTGCGCACGCTGCCTGTCTCTCTCAAAAAAATAAAAAATTTAAAAAT